CCAGGATATCAAGCCCTTTGGGGACAGGTGGTTGAGCGCTTGTGGAGTCTGATCTGGGATAGTGAGGAAAAGAGGATCTCAGGCTGCGAGGCACCCATGAGGACCCCATTTCACCAAGCCAGCATCTTGCATGGAGGAGTTGGAGTCTAACTGAGTCTGAAGGGGCAGGTGCCCCACTCCTGGTCAGGGAGAGTGATTGTTTGCACCCTAATTTCATTTTCCCTGAAGTCAGCTCCTTTGCCAGGGCCCCATATTGTCTTTCTATGCTTTCCAGTCCCATTTTCCAAAGAAAATCACGCATGGATTTAGAGCCGTGGCTTTGGGTCAGGCAAATCCTGATGCTGCCTCTTACTTTATCGACATGATCTTGCACTGTTCATTTCTCTTCACTCGTGTAGCCTGGGGATCACAGTAGTGATTTCATGATGTGGTTGCAAGGTCTAGCGGAGATGCACGGAAGTGTGTGCACAGCAAATACTAAGTGACAGAAAGGATAAAAACTGCTCTGTGATCTGAGGGCTTGCTGGGAGCCAGATGCTGCTCTGATCACGTGACATGAATGAATCACATATGGATGGTTAACCCGAGCATCAGTTTATGAAGTTATTCTACCCATTTTACAGTTGAGAATACTAAGCCTCGAAGGGGCTTATCTAGGGTCGCCCAACTAGAAGGGAGTCGAATGCAGGTGACCTAGCTCCTGACCCCTGCTTGTGCTGATTATTACCACTGCTGGCTGCGGGATGCCAGGTCAGTGTTCAGGTGAAGGAAGAATTGAGAGCACGGGGAGGGGACTGGGCCACTCTGAATTTTCCTTCCGAGTGAGATTCTTCTCATCTTGGTCTTAAGTACTCAGTGTGAAAACTCTCCACTGAAGTTTTTTGAAGCTCATTTCTTTTGAGTTTACAAGATGACCTATCCTAGTCTCCCCCCATCCCCTCCTCCCCTCACTGGGGACAAACTCCTAGGATTTCAGTGGCATTAGGGTTGACAGGATAGACACAGTGAAGCTGGGGGACAGTCCCACCCGCACCATGGCTCACTATGGGAAGCTCTCCATGCTAAGGAGTGTGGGTGTCTTGAGCTCACAATTGCTTTGGGGAAAATAGTTTCCAATGACTATGGATCCTTGGTGAGAGCCCTAGATTTGGGGGTAGGAGGGGCACGGGGCATGCAGTGAGTGGCAGAGATGTCATTTTTTTGAAGTGCCCTGGAGCATTTTTAAAGCTTGTTTTGTAGCAGACCCTCCTGGAGTCGGCCAAAGGCCACTGTCTGGGGAGGATCATGACAATGCCAGGCAGGCGCACGACAACAATGACCAGATTTAATTCCAAAAGGAAGATTGAAGTCTGTGGTGAGATGATAGTATCCCAAATCGGGCCTTGTGGAGAGGAAAATGAATTTCTTAAATTCTTCAGATAAACTCCCTTCTACATAGTAAGAGCCAATCGGCTCAGAATACAGTTTTCTCCTAAGCTTAGGGGTTGAGGCAGGGTGTGGGGCTGGGGATGAAAGGAAGTTCCCTGATGTGGAGAGAAAAGCGAGGAAGTTTCCACTCCTGGAGGGGAGAGAGGGAGATGCAGAGAAAGCAAGGGTGAGGTGAGACACTGAGTCCCTCCAGGGCCCACAGACCTGTGTGGGTGGCCTGGGAATCATGGGAAGGACAAGATTTGCATCCCATCTTTGGGGGTCCATGGTGGAGTGAGTTCTCACTGTGATTACAACCATAGGCCAGGTCTTTGGAGGGAGGGGCTGGGGAAGTCTTGGTTTATTTAGACTCCTGGCAAAAAAAAGAGAAAGAGGGTGAGGCTCCACCTCATCTCCTTAGGACCCCAGAGCCTGCATGTGGTGTGGAGGGGTTCAGAGGCTTCTCAGCTCACAGTGGCTGAGGGTCTTGGCCCATAAGCTCCCAGCAAAGTGGACAAAGGGGAGGCAAAGTGACAATGACAAACTGCATCTCCCAAGCTAGAGAGGCTTGGTTTATTTAGGGCACTGGCCTGTATGTCTCCTCTGAGTCTCCAACAGATTTCCCTTAGATTTCTCTTATGGACTTGAGTTTGAAAGGTATATATCTGTGCATCTTTAGATATATCTTTAGGTATATCTGTGCATCTTTAGATCCTTACAGACAGGAAGACGATGATGGAGAAGAAAGACAGCCTCAGCGAGTGCTTAATATATGTCTGGCACTTTCCCAGCAAAAAGTATGTAAATGTGCTTATTTGATCTTCATGACAACTTTATAAGTTCTATTATTATCCCCACTTTGCAGGAAATTAAGGCACAGAAGAACCATGTAGTGCCTTGCTGAGGGCACAGAGCATTAACCGGCAGAGCCAGACCTTTTGCAGCAGTGAGACTCTTTAGCCTTTGCCCCACTCTGTGTCTGGTTGTGCTTTGTGTCTTTACGGGGCTTGGCAGATAACAGGGGCTCAGGTGCATTTTTAAAAGAATCATCGCTCTTACTATGGATGGATTGTGATTGGAAGTTCTGGTCAATGGACCTACTCTGTCTGAACGTCAGCCATAAATGTCTTCAGATTTGTTATTTCTTTTTTTTTTTAAGGCTTTCCTGATAGCTTTGTCTACCCCATCAGCTTAGCCATTCTGCAGCCAGGGCTCTGAAAACGTAGAAGCTCTGAACTCAAAGTATCTTAGTGACCACTCACTCCCATCCTGGCCTCTAGTAAATCTCTGGTCGAACCAAACTGTGCCACCACCAGCAGGCAAGCTTCTTGGTAATTCTTTACATTGCATCCATGTGACACACAGGTGACAGATCAACATCAATTCTGCCCTAGGTCTTGGGGAATGGACCCAATGACCCCTGAGATCCTTCCAGTCTGTAAAGTCCAGGCTGACCAACATCACCTTTGTGGATTTAAAGTATACACCTTATTTTTTTTTTTTTAGCATCCTAAAATCTGAAGAGTCTCACTTAAGTCACACCGACTCTACATACTCTTCCAGAGTCCTGTTCAAATTTATCTCCTCCTTCAGGAAGTCACCCTTGCTTATTCAACTGACATTGAACTTCTCTCATCTGAACAGCCCCTAGTTTCTCTGCTCCACTGACTCCCTGGCACTCTGTTTAGCTCTCCCTGGTCTGGCTTTGTCCTCAGCTATGGGCAAGGCCCAGACTGCACACATGCTTAGGCCCTTCCCCCAGCTCCCTGCAAGCAGATGTCCTTTTTTCAACATTGATTGATATGTTTAATAAATCCCATATTTCAAGAACCCAAACTGGCCAGACATAACGCAGAAGTGGTTTTCTCCATATACGGGAGCTCTGAGTCACAAATCCTGCGTCTTTAGAGATCCTTTAATGTCACTGTCCTTTACCACCTCTCTTTCTTGAATGACAACACCATTAACAACCACTGACTGAGCCCTACTGTGCCTGTTGGAGAGGTCACAGAACCAGTGCAGGGCTGGACAGACATGGGCTCTGGAGCCGGAACTGAAAGCCAGGTCTGATTCCAAAGCCTTTTTGCTCTTAGCTTGCTGAGGTCGCGACTGTCTCTCAGCTTGGAAGGCAGTCATTCCACCTTAGATTATGGGGCAACATATCTGGCACACAAGAGAAGATTCTTTTTACTGTGACTGGATTTCAAGTGATTTAAGGACAGTTCCTGATGTCACCCCTCTCCCATCTAAATGAAGCTGGAGTGGACTCTGCCCCCTGTAGCTAATTTCTGGAGGTTTATGGGGCCTGGTGGCAACTCTTCCTTTTCTCCCAAATCCAAACTTCACACACCAATGTTTGTTTTAAACTGTCACTCCAGGATCTAAACTGAACCCCCCAGCTGGAGGCCCTTTCAACTATAGGACCTCCCAGAAGTTTGGTATACAACGACAGGAGGGCTCACATGTTTCCTGTGGTGTCAGCAGACTGGAGAGAGGGTTGGAGGGTCTCCACCTGCGCTCCCGGAAGGCCCCTCTCCCGCTGCCACACCATCAGATCCCAACTGCTGGCTCCAGCTCAGGCCTGGAGCCACGCAGAAGGGGAGGAGAATCCTGGCGCCCACACCCAGCCCGTGCTCCGGACTGGACCTTGCTGGACATTCCGCACGCAGAAGAGGAACCCCCAAAATTTCCTCCCGCCATAAAACAGCGCTGCTGGCGGCCGCCCCGTGTGGCTAGAGATGTGCCAAGACTGGGACTAGGTTCCCGGTGCAGACAGCCCAGGTCTGACTTCTGCGGGACTCGGGTTGCCAGCTGCGCCCCCACACCTGGAGTACATTAGGCAGCTACGTGCGTCTTGGCGACCGCGGCTTCCCCCGGATTATTGAATAATTGCATAATTCCAAGCACGGGTTGTGGGGGCGCTGTCCTATTCCGACCCCGGGTATCAGGTAACTTTTCCAGAGGTCCTGGATTGCGGGACTGTGTGCAGCCGCCTGTGACCCGGCAGATGAGGATTTGCCACAGCCTAGGGGCCAAACGCCCTAGGGCTTCCTTTAGTACCCAGTGAGATGAACTCTGGGCAGCTTTTCGCTCCCGCGTCTCCCTCTCCAGCCTCTGGGGCTGCGACGCCTGACTCTCCAAACTCAGGGGTGCGCCCCCCGATCCACGCACAGGCACCGAGGCACGCTCGCTCGATGTGTCCATCCCCTTTCCCAGTCTGGGCCATTCGCCTTTCACACTCCTGGGATGCCTGACTACCCCAGCCTCTGTGTGGGAACCGCAGCATGGCCCTCGGGGACCCAAGGCACCCAGCGGTGCCACCAGCCCTCAGCGCTTTTTCAACTTAAACCTTCTCAACTTTTCCCAACACACCAAACTGCGGACTCTTAAGATGCTTCCGCGCACCTCGATCTTTTGCTGAACTTGGAACCTTTAAATTGCAGTCAGTCCCAGGGGACCCACGCCCCCAAGAGCAGCCAAGTTCCGACCCTAGGAGGCGTAGGGTGCTCCCTCTCCTAACATCTGGATCCGTGGTCCCAGCGGGCTAGGGAGGGACTTCCAGAGACTAAGGAAGGCAAGGGGGGGACACGTACCTGGCCACAGGCTGAGCGCCCAGGCCACCACGAGGCCCCTGGGCAGGTCCATGGCCCGCAGTGCTGCGGCGGGTTGCGGGCGCAGAGCGGCAGCTGGGGCGGCGAGCCAGAGTAGCAGCCTCCTCTTCTCGGCGCCTGGAGCCTGCACTGCGCTCAGCGCCGGTTCCCTGACAACCGCGGCCCTTTCGGAGGAAGTGGGAGGGCTCGAGCGGCAGGGAGGGGCGCAAGGCCACCACATGGGCTCTGGCTTCAGGCCAGTCTCGGCCCCTCTGCCACCTGGGCAGGAGGCGTGCAGCGGCCACGACGTCCTCTCCACATCTGGTCTTCTCCCCCTCCCCCCGACAACCACTCCTAGGAGCCAGCTACTTAGGCGGTGTGCCACCTGCCTCTCTGTGACCACCACCAAATCAGGGTCTGCTCAGGAAAGTGGTTCAGTAGTCCCATCTCCCAGAGAAAAGAGCTCCACAAAGCCCAGAGGGATACTGGAGGTGATCCAGCGATACCCTTTGTGACTCAGGTCTCCCTTAGACAAGCATAGTGGACGTCCCTTAATCGTCCATTCCAAGACATCCTTTGTCTCTCTGCATCCTGGGTTATGAAATGTAAAGGCCAGAGATCTTGTGACCCTGGAATAAATGCAGATCCTCCCTCCTCCACTCTCCTGACCTCCTCCTCACCCTCCACACCTGAGCCATGTCGAGGCACCTAGGAGGACCTGAACCACGTTAACAAATCAAGATGCTTTTCCTTGGAACCCAGACACCTTCCTCCCCAGCCCTTGTAATAACAGACAATCAGCTTCAATGCTTATTTGTTGAAAAAGCTTTTAATCAAGCCGTGGGCCACAACTGTGAGTGCAGTGGCTGGCCTTCCCAGCAGGGGAGGAGCAGAGGCAGAGGGCAGGATAGCAGAGGGCAGAGGGCAATGTGTGGGGAAGATGGAGCAGAGGACCTGTCACTTTCTTAGGAGGGTCTTCCTGTGCCCTTCCTTGTCCCCTGTCCCCACTATTCAGGTCCTCAGACACATGCTCATCTTCTCTCTCTCTCTCATCTTTATTGTACTTAAAAGAGAAACTAGAATCTGATTAACAGAATAATTTGATTAACTTCTCTCTCCCTGAAATCTCTATGAGCTCTCAGTCCCTAGACACCCAGAAACACAGGAGGAGGGTGGATGGATGGATGAGAACAGGAGGTGGGGTTTTCAGGCTAGGAGAGATTGGAAGGGCTTCCTGGAAGAGATGGCAGGGTTCCTGAGGATGAGCTGGGTTTTGAGCAGGCCTGTGTTCACATGAATGGAGTGGTGGGCTTGTGTTGGCCTCTTCAACGTCGCTCTTTTCTTGGTAGTATGGTGGCATTTACTTTAATGTATTCACCTCTGCTACTTAGCCACAGACTGGGAGAAGCTGATTCCATCCCTGATATGTGTGTGTGTGTGTGTGTGTGTGTGTGTAGGCACGGGCAAGTACTTGGCGGTGGGAGTAGGGAGAGAGAAAGAAAGAAAGCAGGCATGGGGTTTATGCAGAAGTGAATCAGTGTGTCACCATCCACAGGACATAGTTTAGAAAGGGGAATATGACAGAGGAAAACAAGCTTTCTTGCTCTTGTAAGAGAGTTCCTGGAACACAAGAACTGACTCTCTCCTCTGCTGTCCTACCCTGGCCTCCTCTTCCAGGCTGGGTAAAGGACAGAGGAAGTGCTGAGAAATTAACAGAGGTCAGGGTAGGGAAGGGGGTTGTGGCCTTGGGATGAGGCAGACATTTGATGAGACAATGGAGAAGAAACCAAGTGCAAGAGGACCTTGCAGAACCCCTTACTCAAGCTACCCTGTGAGCCCACTCCTCTCAAGACTTCCTAGTTATGTGACAGTGACCATGGCTTAAGGATTGAGTCAGGATGCTTGGAGCCTAGAGCACTCTTACCAGTACCTGCCATCCAATAGGCTGTGACCCCTTCCCAGCCTTGCCCAAGTTCATGCTCTGCCTAGTGGTGCTCCAACTATGGTGCCTTGGAATTACCCAGAGCACTTGTGAAAGCTGCAAATTATCTGAGGATCAGGGAGTTGGGGAGGGTACCCCAGGCCCTTCAGATGGGGGGTAATTTGCACACTGCCTGTTGAAGGGGTGCTCTGGATGGCACCACAAGTCTTGCTGGTAACAATTCTACCCTTCATTAACTTTCATCATGGTGTGGGAGTCTTGAATACAGTGTGTGTGCTTCTGCATAACACAGGACTGTTGGGAGAGAGGTGCGCCCTCATTTGTTCTTTCAGCAAATATTTGAGTGCCAGCTGTCCCCCCACTGCTCTGCAAGATATAGCAGGAGAAGCTTGTGCAAGAGGAGCTACTGAGGGAGCCCAGAAGGTGAGAGTGAGCTTGTATTTATTTATTTAATTATAATTTATTCTTAATTTACTTGAAGTCATTTCTTATTTAATCATTGTTAGACATTATTTAAATCACACAAGACAGCATGATGTGGGTGACAAATGCCTATGATTCTGACTCTAAGGCTGGGGAAGCTCAGAGAAATGTACGAAGGGCATTCTAGAAGCTGGGATTTGAGTTGACAGAAAATTGAAGCTAAATAAATATAAGCACCATGTGGGATTTGAAGCTGGGATTTGAGTTGACAATTTTTTTTTTTCAGAGTAGAAATTAGAAGTTTATTAAAGGACAGCAGAAAAGACTTCTCCCGGAGGAAGAAGGGGACCCAAGAGGTGGAATCCGTGGAAGTGCGGTTGTCTCTCCATTTTATAGTTTTTGGTGATGGAATGTAGGTGGGAAGGCCCGAAGAGTTGGGACACAGGTGGGCCAAAGAAGTAATCTGGGCAGGAAGGACTTCATTAACACTTCTTTGGGATGGGCCAAGTTTAAATCTGCTGGGGCTGTTCATTAACTTTTCTTTAGGATGGACTTTGGGCCTAGGGTTTTTCTTGGGACTTCATTAATATTTCAAGAGTTGCTCAACTTTTCTGGAAATTCATTCTCAACATGGCCTCCATTTTAGATTTCACTGGATATTAGACCTGATTTACCTAACTACACTGACTGCCTAATTTTAAATCTGGCTTCATTCCCCCCCTCTAATTTTGGGAACTCCTTACTGCTGTAAGGAAAGGGGGCGAAGATTGTTCTGGCTTCTTCAGGCTGAAAGGGGATGATGTTGGGCAAGCAGTTTGGAGTCCCCTTTAAAAATCCGGTCTATGGAGTGGTCCATGATAGAAGTCCGATTGAGAAGTAATAGGCTGGAGGGCCATTTGAGTGATGGGTGGTTTATAAGAGAAACAAGAATTTATTAGTACTGGAACCAGATTGATGCAGCAATAAATGCCACAGCACAGGAATATGCCAATGAGTATGATGACAATGACAGAGATTAACAATATTTTCCACCAGGAAGTAACAGAGAACCAGGAGCTAAGATATTGTTCCCATGACAAAGTTGGTGAGGACATGGCTTTTATCTGAGCATGTAAATCTTTAAGGATATTTGTCACATTGCCAGAATTGTCAGGGATGTAAACACAACACTTAACTTTTAGGGTTATAGATGTCCTTTTTCTTAAGATACATTTTAATAATTTAATGTCATCTGATCTTGTAAAATCTTTTTTCTAGTATGACCTCTGTGTCTAATAGAAAAACCTTTAATCTTGTTACTCAGGGATGGATAATCATACTAGCAAACACCAAGCCTACCTGTGTAGGTTAGAAATAGCTGTAGGCCTTAAACTAAAAACTACTCTGGCAGTTCCTTTTGATAGTTATCAGGCATTTCTGTCTGAGAATCCTTCTTTGTAGCCTCCAGTCTTACTTATTTTGGGAGGCTAACATAAAGTGTATACCTTAAAATAATAATAATAATAATAATAATAATAATATTTTAAGGTTATTTAAAATGTCCAGGAATGGCTGTGTTTTGGTTTTAACTGTCTTTGCTAAGTGTTTAAGATGAAGCAGTCAAACTGACTTTTGTTTCTATCTATTGTTAACAGTCAGCTGAGTTTTTATGGGAGTCATTCCTGGGGAAATTTGAGAGCGGCTTCTCAGTTCTGTTAGTGCCATTTGCGCTAGGATGGGTCCAGGTCTTGCTTGACCATGAGGCTTCCCTCGGAAGCATCAGGGATGTCTCCTTTCTCATAGCAAATGCACTGATTGGCTTTCTGTCCTCCAGAGGTCTCATTAATATCTCTGATTGGAGGTTATGTGGCCCAGAGTTGCAAAGCTCTTTGGAGAAGTCCTCTGCTCCCTGGATTTAGACTGACTCAGAGGGCAAGAGCCAAATATTGGTTTTCTTGGCCCTTTTAATTTAACTTTAATTTTAAAACTTAATCTTAAACATCCAGCAAATAAATTTCAACAGCCTTATATTAAGAGTACTGGGCTTTAATGTCTATCTCTCTATCCTGTAGGTGATAAGATAATGATTATCTTAAATCAACCCAGGTTGTGTGTTCTTAAATCTCTGCAAAACATTAACAGGCAATCTTTAGACCATTTATAAGAAAACTATAAAATAAAATTATCAAGAGTAAAAACATATTTAGTTCATGTAATAGCTACCTTGAATTTTGGCAGAGTTATACATTATATCCCCTGTTTGAGATCCAAGTAATCTTGACAAAAACCAACTTTTGGACACAACTTTAAATGTACTGAAATCTGGCCTACTTCTTTCGTAGTCATTTTCACATGTAGTGAGATGGGACACAGAACCTTTTCTCAGGAAAGGCGGGGCTCTTCATAAATCTTAAGTACTATAGTTCTGAAGCTGATCTTTGCTTTTTAGACATTATTTTATAAAACCTACATAAATTGTTGCTCAAGTTTACAAAAAATATTTACTAACACAATATAATATCACATCTAAAACATGAATTAAAGAAAGACTGAAAGATTTTAACCTTTTGTAGAAAAGTAGCAAAGTACTTTTGTGTTTTGCAATAAAACCTTTACATAGATTAGGCTCTCATTAACTTAAAAATACATTTAAATTGTATCTTAGTGTAAAAAGTAACATAGAACTTTACATATCTTATTGATAACAAGTCCAATTATAGAACACAAATGATATAAATACACCTCCAACATGTTTTTCTTTTAAGCCTAAAATTATCATACAACTTTAGAACACCAGCTTGATA